TTTTGTTTTTGTAAAGTGTTTTACGGCGCTCGCAACTGCAAAAGGTCATATGAGTGCGCGGGACACACCTAATATTTTCAGTGGGCCGAAGCCTACTCTTATCGATTTTAGACCACCAAGGGATCTTTAACGTGCGCAACTTGCACACGGGCCCTCCGAGATTTTTCGCCCTTGTCCAAGAAGGCTAGGTGTAGATCTTTCCTACCAGGAGATCAGGGGTGTGGCTGAAAGACAGCAGTACGAAGAAGTGAAGGAGTAGCAGTAGAAAGGCTGCAGAAAGAATCAGGAGCCCAGAGGAAGGGGCAAAGGAGGTGAGGGGGTGGGGCAGAAAGAGGAGACGAAAGCAGACGACAGAACATTGCTAGAGAGCAGGAAATGAGGTGAAAGGAGACAAATTTAGAGAAAAAAAATGTTCCGGTCGCTACCCGGATTCGAACCCGGGACCTTTTGAATGAGAGGCCAACACCTTAACCTCTAGGCCACGAGAGCCCTCTGGACCTGCTCTAACGGCCACCTGTTCAAGACAGTCTCCTTGGTTTGTGATTAGTTTTAGTAGAGGTTTTACGGCGCTCGCAATTGCATAGGGTCATATGAGCGCCAGAAGATTAGAGAGTAGAGATTACAAGAGAGTAACAAACATAAGAAAAAAGGATGGGAGATAAGGACGATAGATGTTTGATAGGAAAGAAAGAGCAAACCACACCAGAGCACCCGCCAACCACCCACTAACCACTAAGACAGTCACCTGTACAACCATTTCCTACTTACATACTTGCAGTTTTTAATCTCTTTGTATTATAATGACTGTCCAAGATGGCCATCTAAAACAAGTTTTCCCTAAGACAATTCCAGTTGTAGTCTAAATAGAAAGATAACCAAGTACTTGAATAAGTACTTAGTGTGTATCTATATATTATTTCCTAATGTAAGGTATCCAGGGATGTATAATTAAGAAGGTACGTAAAACTTCAAATACGTCCCTTTTCTAACCCAACTATTTCTGGTGGCTTTTTCTTTTTTGTTGTTTTTTTTTATGGGGGGGGGTTTTCATCGACTTTTATTTTATTGAAACCTTAGAAAGCTCAGTTGGCATCGTGCGGCTGAAGATCCCGATTCCATTCCCAACAGGGCGTTCTAGAAGTCGAGCGGTTAGGGAGTTTGCAAAGCTTTCCAGACAATACAATGTATATTCAATTTTTAAAAAATTAAAAAATGAACAGACAGGTCTTTCAGGAAAAAAACAGGAATAGTGGGTACTCAATCCGCAATGAATAACTTACATCAAAATCAGCTCAACCCAAACAATTTGAAACCAAAAGAGAATATGCAAAACAAAACAACCCGCCTTCCCCCATGCATGTCAAAGAAAACAAAAAGCAAACTCGATAACGATTTTAAAAAATAACCTCTCAACATGACTATGTTCAAAATAATTAAAAGGTACGTGTGAGGTCTGTCAAATGCAAACCCATCGCTCCCCCCCCCCCTTTTTTTTTCTTTCTTTTTTTCTATTAGCATGACATTCAAGCTTAATAACACATAATAATGTCGTGTGTATTTACTATGAGGGTGTGGGTTTGAATGATTAGCAATGAAGTGAAAGTGATTCATCTTGTTCCTGTCAAGAACAAGGACTCCCTGAAGAAAAAAGTAAAGGGCATTGACATGGCTCGGTGTGTTTTGTTTTAGCAACGCGTACAGAGCAGATTATGACAGCTTGTTATTGTGAGTCAGTGGTCGTACTGAAACACCTTTTCTTTTAGGGATTTTTAAAATCCCGCATCGACACAATTTAGATCATTTAGTTGGGTGAAATTGTTACAACTTTGACCGTACCTTCAACTCAGGTAGAGTAAATACAATGTGCAATCAGATAGGGGAAATGTTATTATGTCGTGAATGCATCTATAATAATCGCGCGCGCTGTGAGTGTGAGTGTGTGTGTGTGTGTGTGTGAGTGAGTGTGTGTGTGTGAGTGTGTGTGTGTGTGTGTGTAAGTGAGTGAGCGTTTCTGTGTGTGTATATGTATTAGAATGTGTGAGAACGTGTGTATATGTGCGTATATTATGTGTAACGGGTGGGTGTAAAAAAAGGGAGGGGGCCGTAAAAGAGAGAG